AACAAATAAAAAAAATTCAAAGTCTAGTCTTAAAATATAAATCGACCTTATAGTAAATGGGGTGTCTACAATTGTTGGTGTTGCTTTTCTATTGCATTTCATAATCTAAAGTGAAAATTACTCCAAAGTCTATGACATCTAGCAAATTTTTTTAGCTTACTTGAGTTTTTTTGTTTTTGTTTCAAAACTAACTCTAGTTTTGCTCAACAAAATAATAAAATACACTTTTAGAGTGGAAAGCAAATTATTGAAATCAAAGCTCTTTATGCTCATAAATGCATGAGAACAAATAACAATGAACCAAAAAGAAATTTTGGCCTTGATTACTTAATAAACTTAATTGCAAAAACATTATTTTCATCACTAATTTATCAAATGCAGGGATTAATAAACCATAGCGATAAAAGAATTACAGCTAAAACTATTTTAAAAAAAAACTTGGATTTACAACCTAATTCAATCCCACATTATTCAGTAGAATGCATGTTTAACACTTTAATTGGTACATAAAATGAAACTTAACAAATTCATATTAGGAGAGAGACTAACCATTTTTTGTGCTTGTTCCACTTTTCTGCTTTAACCTGCACCCTGGTGTATCCTATGAAAATGAAGCTTCAACAGTTACAACAACATCTCCAACAGCAATAATCTAAATGAACTTGAGCTTTTTTCCATTAAACTCATTTTGACCATCACATTTCTATTAATTCTCTTCTACTTTTATAACATAACCCACCAATTCTTTGTTCTTCTTGCCTTTCATCCCTATAATAATACTCTTTAAGTTTCCATAACCTAGGCTCCAACTTTACCATCTTCATTTCTTTCTAACTCATAATCTTTTATCAAGACCTTAGCTTCTTCCATCATCATGTGCAAATCAACTAAACCAAAACTTCCCCCTATAGTATTGGTTAGATGAAAATGCAAAATATATGTTATTCTACCAAAATGTCAATAAAGGTTAAACTCTAAAAAATTCTAAAGATAGATGAATCCATGAACCAAAAATTTAAATGATAGAGATATTCAAACAATAAAAAATTCAAATAATAAATGACTAAGGTTTCATTGAACATAACTGTAGCCAAATCTCATTGCTTTTGTTAAATCACATCGCACCACAGTTAAATTGAAAGGTGCAATGCTACTAGTAGTAAAGGTCAAAACTTTAATATATAAATTAATTTTTTAATAATGAAATTAATGAAAAAAATTGAGAAAAAAAGAAAACAAAATATTAGTTAGAGGGCTTGCATTGCTCTTGATACCTTTACCCTTATGTATAATTTTTTTTTTTTTTTGGGTTAGCTAGATAAAATATTTTTGAACAAGAAATAAACTAAAACTATTTAAACATGAAACAAATAGCATTGAAATATTAATTAAAACTGAAAAGTATTTTGGCATCACAAAGCTAACTTATAAATTTTAATCAAATATAATTATTAAAATATTACCCAATTTATTTTTTAGCCATTTTTTAAGTTTAACTACTATATCTATAAATTAGTATTATATATCTTTCAAAATTTTAAATAAAATAAAATATAAATTTCATTTATTAAAATTTAATTTAGTTAAATATTTTAAATTTAAATTTATTTATTAAAATTTAGTTTAATTAAATATTAAAAATTAAACTAAATTCCAATTTCCAAATTACCCTTTTACCTTCTCTTATTAATATTATTATTGTAGTTTGAGCTTGAAAGTCTTTTTATAATTTTATCCTTACACTCTATATGCTTGTTTTTGGTAGAAAAGAAAGCAACTTTTAGGAGCTTATTATTAGGGATGTTAATTTCAACCAAATTCAACAAAAAACTCGATTTTTTACTCGAATGAAGAGGGATATGGTATTAAATTTTTGGGATAGAGACAGAGATGGATATGATTTTGAAATGCACATTAGGCATAGGAATGAGAATAGGTAATATAGTACCCACCTTGCACCCGTATCCAATATATTTATATATAATTATATATATTTAGTAAATAAATTTTTTATTTTAAATTAATTAGCTTCTAGAGTTACATGTTTTTCATTATTTTATACTTGATAAAACTAAAGCCGTTTCTTACTTTGTGTCTTTTTCTATTTTCTGTAAAAAATTCCTTGTTAATCTTTATTCTTTAGTTCTCTAATTAGACGTCATATTAGTCTTCTGCACCTCCACCTTAGTTAATTGTAGATATCACTTAAAAACTTTGCTTTTAATTTTTCTTTGGTTATTGCACTTTGACTCATTTTCATTTGTTCAAATTTTGCTAATAAAAATAGACTGTTTATCTAATCATATGAATTATTACACTTAGACTATCTTTTACATAAAATGTTTTTGAAAAGTGACAACTAGCCATATGATAACAATGGGAGACAAAAAAATATATAAGGAAGTCTAATAAAAGGGCCAAAACATTATGCTTAAAAAAGAACTAATCTATAATTGATAGAGATATTTCCAAGTAGGGAACAACCCATCTTTCAAAATAAATTTATAAACTTTGAACTTAGAGCTTAAGTTAATTATTTTGCTGCTTAATCTAATCTAGTTTATGCTTATTGCACGTACAAGGCCTTAATATCTTTCGAAATTGAATTTGGCAATAGGGGAAAACAAAAAATATATACTAACTAAAATGCAAAGTGAATGGTATTAAGATAGAAAAAATAAAAAAGCAATCGAGTCATTAAAATGACCTTTACAAATAAAATGCTTGAAGTTAAAATTATTATCATAGAATATGAATACATCAAAGTTACAGGAAGAAAACAATCCTTTATCAGATGTTTTAATGCCTATGTACAGCCAACTAATGAAAATTGATAAAATACAAAGAAAATGATAATAAATTGGTAGTTTTGTGAGTTTCAACAAAATTTTTTATATTTGCATTTTTGGTTTTTAACTTTTAATCAATTATTTTTTTGAGTCAATATACTATGATAAAGAGAATAATTTCAATTTATTACGAGTTCAATTCGATCATATTAAGAACTACTAATTTCATAGAGTGTAGTGATTTAATTTCTTCATATTTTATTTTTTCAGATATTGCTCTTACTTAGGCTACAATGGAAAGTAACGGTTCATTAACTTTTATCAACTCGTTTACTGAGTCACCTATTGAAGTTAAGGATGATGAACCCCAAACTCTTATTTCAAACAAAGAGGAAAGAGATCCAACTATTGGTAAAAAAGATTGAAATATAAGGTTTGGTAGCATTTTAAGAAGATCAAAGTTGATGGAATTGATAAAGCAAAGTGCAATTATTACACAAAAGGCTTAAGGAAAAAGCATAGATGGAACAAACCATTTGCATCATCATAATAGCATTTGTAAACTTAGACCTTATAGGAGTGTAAAGCAACAAACATTAATGCAACACTAATGGAAATCAGATGGAAAAATGGTTATAAGTAATTACACATTTAATAAAAAATCTTCGAGAAATGATCTTACTACTATAATAATAATGCATGAATATCCAATTTCAATAGTGGAACATTATGGGTTCAAAAAGTATTTAACTAGTCTTCAACAATTATTCCAAGATTCCTTTGCAAAATACAATTAGTAGTGATATCATGAATATTTATGAATTTGAAAACCTAAAGACTATGGAGTTGTTAGAGAAAAATTCAAGTATGATTGCAATAATTACGGATATCTGGATGGCTTTAAACAAAAAAAAATGATTCATGGTTGTCACGGCACACTTCATTGATAACAATTAGGATTTGCAAAGTTTGGTCATAAGGTATATTACTATACTTTGCTAAATACAATAGTTTATTTTATAAGTTTGTTTTACCTTATTAGTCTTATACTTGTTATATTTGAATTTTAGGTTTGTTTATGTGCCTTCTCCACATACAACAGTTGCTGTTTTTAATGAGTAATTGAATTGCTTGTTTGGTTCGAATATTGATAGAAAATTATCCATATTGACTATTGATAATTATTCTACTAATGATGCTATAATTGACATCATCATGACCAAGCTCAATCCTAATAATCTTTTATTAGATGGAAAGTTGTTTCATGTGCGTTGTTGTGCACATATTTTGAATTTAATTATCCAAGATGGATTAAAGGTTATAAATGATGGAATAGAAAATATTAGAGATAGTGTTGCCTTTTGGATGGCCACATAAAAAGAGAATAAATTTTTAGAGAAAATGTGAGACATTTGCACATTGATTTTTCAAAAAAGTTAGTCTTTGATTGTAAGACTTGATGAAATTTCACATATTTGATGCTTAGTGTTGCTTTGATATATAAGGATGTTTTTGGTCGTTTGTTACAACAAGAGCCTTTATATACTATTGTAGTAACCAAACAAGATTGGATGCTAGCTGAGGAGATTTTTGAAAGGTTTAAGGTATTTTATAATGTCACTAATGTATTTTCAAGGAGAAAATATTAGACATCCAATGTTTTATTTCATTGATGCACGAGATCAAACTTTCTTTAGCCACTTGGACTTTATCTCCTATTGAAACTATTATAAATATGACCACAAGTATGTTATATATGTTTGATAAATATTGGAAAACAATTCATGGAATTGTACGAGTGGCTATTGTCTTTAATCCAAGATATAAGTTGAAGTTATTGCAATATTTTTTTTCCTAATTTTATGGAACATCAGTTAATTTTGAAATTTAAAGGACTAAAAACCTTTGTTATGACTTGTTGAATGAATGTCAAAGGTCTTAAAGACCTAATAAAATGTATTATAGAGATGGAGTTTCATCTAATGTTTTAAAGATGGATATGATTCTTTTGTTAGCAATTTAGATGATTCATTAGTTAAATATGAGTTAAATCATTATTTATAGGAGAAAGTTTTTCCTAGAACTTTAGATTTTGATATATTATTTTGGTGGGAAAGTGGTTGACTTTGTTAACCAACTTTACAAAGGATTACTAGGGATATCTTGGTTGTTTTGATTTCCATCTAGCTTCATAATATACTTTTAGCACTTATGGTAGATTGGTGAGTCCTCGTCATAGTAAGCTTCATGCAATTACTTCAGAAGCTCTATTGTGTGCTCAAAATTGGTTGTTGAAAGATATAAAAGGTAATGAATTTAATTGAAAAGAATTAGTGATTTCATTACTTTATTATATTATGTACAACTTTAAATGATATATTTTTTTAAGCCGATCTTCAAAAGAAAATGATGCATATCATGGCATTATTCTTGATGATTTTGAAATTGAAAAAGAGTTGTAATAGATATATATTACATACACATTATTTTCAACAAGTTTTATATGATGTATTTATGTGTCCATCAAGTGAAATTCCCAAGAAAACATCATTCAAATGATCATTTGTAGTAAACTTCTTTTATAAATTTTATTTGGTGAAATTTTATGATTTATATTTGTATTTACATTAACGTACGTATCATATTTTATTTGATATGTTTATTACTAAACTTTTACTTGCTTTAAGGAATATTGAAATATTTTTTTTTTAAAGAAATGGATACGGGGATGTTGTTTAAGTGACTATTTGGTCTTAGAATCAAGATATTAAAAAAGAAATTCTTAAAACTCTATGTTTCTTTGAAAATATTATTACGAAAGGGCATATATATTAAAAATGCATTTTAAGCTTTATAAATCATTTAAAAAGTTTTATACCATATTCCAAATTAGCCAAATAATTTTTATATCTATTTTTCTCAAAAGCAACATTTGATTTTTAAGCTTTATAAACCATTTAAAAAAAATTTTATATTACAATTCCAAAAATTGTCCAAATGATTTTTATATTCATTTTTCTCAAAAGCAATATTTGATTTTTTAAAATTTAAAAATCTTTTAAAAGTTGCATTTTAACACTTAAAGAATTAAAATCATTGCAAATTAATAAATTTTTTTTTATTTGAGCAACTTTAAATCATTGAACTTAATATATTCAAATGCATTTTGCACTTAAAAGCTTGCTTAAAACAAAATTTGACACTTTAATATTATTTTACAAAAATGGTTTTTAGAGTGAAAATTGAAGTCTCAAAATTATTAAACTTTGTATGCTCTTTAAGTTTGTGAATAAATACAAATTAATCATGTAAGTACAAATAATAATTTCACAAACATACAATCATCGACATCAAACATTGATATATGAAATCATGCTTAAATTATATAAATATATGTAAAAAAAAATACAAAATCAATTTTACTAACAATTAAAATATATTTATACGAAGATAATAAGCATTACAAGGATAGTAAATATTAGTTATAAAAATATGATGAAAATGGTTTTTTTTTTTTTTTTTTAACTATTTAAAATTTAAAGGTACCCTGATACGGCTGGAATATGGACGAAAGGGCAAGTTGAGGCATGGAAACCCTTTGTTGAAGCTGTCCATGCAAGAGATGGGATATTCTTTCGTCAAATATGGAATGTTGGAAGGGTTTCAAATCAAGGTATGTTTTTGTCTTTAGATTCTCCTTCCCTTCTTTCTTCTTTTCTACCATATATACAACAAATGGCTGGAGCTTAATTACAGCAATCCAATCCTAAGATGTGCCAATGAAGATTGGAGTATATTTCTTTTAGCATTTGAAATTTAGGGTTTAAAGTTTTCGACATGTTAATACCTAGTATTCTAAAAAAATTAAGAACATAATGGATGATTTTTTTCTCAAATCCTTTCTTTTTCGTCGATTTTGACTTCCCAGTCATCAGTTTGCAATCAATCATAAGTTAAAAGTGAACATAAAAATAATAATTAAAATAATTAAAATATTTTTACTTGAAATCATTTAAAATTAAAAAAAAGTGCCCGTGCATTGTTCCATGGTCATATGTTTTTAATTAAATTTAGTAAAAATATTGTCAAATTTGAAAATAATTTATATTTTTACTATTAAAAAGGTAAAAAACAACTACTTTTAAATTACACAAAATGATAATTTTACTCAAAGGATTTCATATAACAACTTGAATAAAATATTAAAATTAAAAAAAAAAATCACATTTATAATTATAATTATTTAAATGCTATTAGCGTATTATTTAGTGCAAAAATTCTATTTGTATTTATCATATAACTAATACATGATTTTTTTATTTTTTTCCCCAAAATATTTTCTTTTGGTTTGAAACAATTTACAGGTTGAATATATTACTCCGATCCAATATTCTTCTATAGCAGCAATCTAATACTTTTTCGTTTTTACCCTATTATCTATATATATATATATATATACTTTTTCATTCAGATGTTTATTAGTAATTATGTATCCTTTCTTGGCCACCTATCCAGATTTTCAGCCAAAGGGGCAAGCTCCAATCTCCTGTACAGACAAACCAGTGATGCCCCCAATTGAAGCAAATGGGATAAATGTTGCAAGATTCTCTCCTCCAAGGAGGCTAAGAACAGATGAGATCCCCCAAGTTGTTGATGATTTTAGACTTGCTGCAAGAAATGCTATGGAAGTTGGTAAGATTTTTTTCAACCTCTTAACTAGTGAAACCAAATTTGATAACCAATGCTGCCAATGTCCACTTGCTATTAGTTTTAGGGATGTAGTTTCACCTAAGCATATTAATTTAGGCTTTTCATTTTTCATTGCAGTACTCGCATGGCTTTGAATCTTTTTAACAATGGAAGTCCAACTGAGAATAGAAAAATTTTGTTACAGACACTAAGGTTTAAATTCTAAACTTGTTAAATGCCACATCTTAACTATGATTGCATAAATCAGTTAAGTTAAATTTTGAGTTGTACAAGATTTTGATTTTGATATAACCATAATTGATGGTTTAAAAAAGAGATTTCATTGGAATAATGTCTTTCCAGTTCCTACTTATTTTGACACTGATCAATATACATTTCACAAATTGTGAAAAGAAAAGGAAAACTTATATATATATATAAATATATATATTGCAAGAAATTGTATGTGAATGATAATAACTATTTGTTAAACTACATTGTCTAATGCAAAAAACTCTGTCTGGTGTACTTACTTTGCCAATAAACTAACTCTTTGATTCATAGGTTTTGATGGGGTTGAGATTCATGGGGCTCATGGATATCTAATTGACCAGTTCATGAAGGATCAAGTTAATGATCGAACAAATCAATATGGTGGGTCGCTAGAGAACCGCTGCAGGTTTGCTTTAGAAGTAGTTGAAGCTGTTGCTAATGAGATAGGAGCAGATAAAGTAGCAATAAGGCTCTCTGCCCTCGCAGACTATATGGAATCAAGGGACTCGAATCCAAATGCATTAGGCCTCTACATGGCAAAGTCCTTGAATAAGTATGGGATTCTCTACTGCCATACGGTTGAGCCAAGAATGAGAACCCTCGGTGAAAAATTTGAATGCCATGACAGTCTTCTTCCTATGAGGAAGGGTTTTAATGGTTCGTTCATTGTTGCTGGTGGTTATGAAAGGGAAGATGGAAATCAAGCTGTGACTGAAAACCACACAGATCTTGTTGCTTATGGTCGTTTGTTTTTGGCCAATCCAGATTTGCCAAGGAGATTTGAGCTAGATGCTCCTCTCAATAAGTACAACTCAGATACCTGTTGCACATCGGATCCTGTCGTTGGTTACACTGATTATCCATTTCTTGAAGAAAAATGATAGATATATATAATGAGATGATTTAAGTAGTTCGAATAAGAAACATAAATGTGTTTGATATACAAGATTATAATATGATAGAATATAAGATAAGATGATATTATGAATATGAATAGATTAAATAATTTTATCCTATATTGTGTTTAATGTGTGTAATAATTAAGATAAGATAATATATTTATTGATTAAAAATTTTTTTTCAAAATTTATAAAATTTAAATTATTAATATAATTTTAAAAGTATAACAGGAAATGTAAATTTAATCTTATAAATTAAAAATAATCCTCTCCACTTTTAGAGGATTGAATCATCTTATACCAATAAGATATTAATATTCCTTGTAATCCTATCTTTTTTTTTTTAAACACAAACTAAATATAATACCGGATAACTATCATCTTATCTTATCCATTATTTTATACACCAAACATGATCATAGAATTTTAACATTCAAGGTTTATATTATTTACACATATAGTTATTGGTATTTATTTTATTGCTGCACTCCTTAGATCTACGTTCGTCGTAGATCTGGAGGTATGAGAATCCAAACTGTGAGAAGGTTGATAAGGGGTTTTAATCTTGAAATGATTTGTTGCATTACATTAAATTGGTGTCCTGTGATTTTTTATTTGTTGAGAAGAATTGAGCCTCGGGGAATCTTAAGTGGCCATTTAGTCTTATGTAAGTGGATGTAGTGGTCATTTGATAATATGAGGAAGATTTTCTTTAATAAACATACACTGGTGATCAAAGATAGATTCATTTTATTGATTGGGATGTTGACTAGCAGCTCGTCCTTTCTTAGGATGCTAGCAAACATATACACTGTTACAACAACTTTACCTCGTCTTGTTATTCTTAATTAGCAAAGCTGGTGTGTAGTGGCGCGTTGGGGGCTACGGGCTATCTATGTGGGGCATTCCGTATGGGAGGAAGGGGAACTTTGCCTGGTTGATTTATTTACTCCAACGTTAAGGGGACACGGAAGCTTAGGCAGCGTCGGGGTTGGGTTGATCTGGTGTCATATTTGACTTGTTGCAATCTTGGTGGCTTAAGCAGTTTTCAATGGCTGTTGTCGTATTGGGAAGGTGGGTTTTGTTGAAATGCATTTTTAAGAATAGAGTTTGGAATTTTGGGTGGTGTTTGACAAGATGGTGGTGGTTTTTAATTGTGATCTCTTTCATATTTATTTTAAGAGAAGCTGCTTGCACCTTGGTGGCTTTGAAGGAATGATCTCCTGTTTCATTGGGAGTTTCTCATTTTATTGATTTTCTGTGGAGTTAGGAGTATATGTTTGTTCATTTTGATTTGATCAATTCTATAGGTTTGGAGTTTTAAGACTGGTTTTGAGATGTATTTGTAAGTTAATTATGTTCTTAAGAAGTTTTTAAAGATGTTTTATGTAATTGAAATAGAACTATGTGCCATCTTTTTGTTAAAGCCAGCAACTAGCTAGCTGAAAATTTTTTTTTATAGTCTTAAGAATTCATTTGGATGATCAATAGTATTCGTTTCAATAAAATAAAAAAATAAGATTAGATTAGATAAAATTGGATATTGTAATTATGAGATTAAATTAACAATAAAAAATATCTTTGAAGAAAAAAGTAATGAATATCGATTATTTTCTCAAAAATAAGGTAATGATATCAATTAAATTAAATATGATAATCGATTATTCTATAAAAAAAAATCCACTGTCAAAATTAAAAATATTTAATTTTTTTTGTTTTTACATAAAACAATTCATTATCTTACGTCCAGTGATTCACTTAATCCTTCCTACTCCAATCTTTTAACTGCGGGGTCAAAGTTAGCTGCATCCTGAGATACTAATCAAATGCAAATCATGATTCTATGACATCTCGATGCAATAGAATTCAAACTAGCCTCAATAATTCAATACTATCAAGTCTATGAAAGCCAGTTTTTGTGTTTGTATTTTGACTAGCTCCAGTGCTGTGGCATCGAATGATCAAATATGATGACGCTAAAATATTGAAGATTTGAATTTCAACATGGTTGGTGAGAGCTGTGATAGACATAGACGAAGCAATATGGGACTTTTGGTCAGCATCACGTGCTGGACTTGCTTAGAAGTCTAGGGGACAAAGAGTAAAAAAATAAGACGAGAGATTGACTGGCTTAACAAGGTAGAAGTAGGAAGAGAAACAGCGTCAGGTAAGGCGGCAGCGCCTGTTGGAGAGCAGACATTATTGAGATAAGCAGAGCCGCCAGCCAATGCTCAACTACCATAAAAATTTATGTTTCTCCTTGATTAATGACCGGAGAAAGATTTCATTTATAATTCGATTTATATTTTGGGAACTTTGATTTTTAGATTTATGAAAATGATGAAAATGAATTACTCCAAAACTGAAAAATCAATCAAATTTATACAGAAAATCAATTGAATTATCGAAATAATTTGGTTTACTCAGATAATTAATTCTGTTTTACTTGAAAAATTCACACTTCCAAGTGAAATAAGATATCAAGCTGTTACATCGCAATATTCATTTTCTTTCCTAATGTGCGTATTATGGGGAAATGGATTACGCTCAATGCTTAATGATATTTAGGATGTACTTTGAAAAGTCATAGTCAGGTGGTCTGGTCAATTTATTTGTAGAGAATAAAGAAAAAAAAATAGTACAGGACAAACATATTCTCCCATGAGGTGCTTGAATCTAAACGTTGTCCAATAGAAAAAGAAACGACAAAAAGAATGACATTTGAATTTTGGGATGTGATTTGCAGACTTTGGCACTGGCAGACCGGATGATGACATTTGAATTGTGGGATTTGATCTGCGGACTTTGGCAGTGGCAGATCGGCTGCTATGTTCGTGGAAACTATAAAACTATCTAAGCCATTACCAAAACTTGGTGGCAATCGAATTCCAAAGCAAACTAAAGCAAAGCCAAGGTTTTTTTTTTTTTGGGTTATATCAGAAACAAAAATGGGACGCAGAGTACAAACACAACAGCAAGAAGATCAAGAAACTATCAGCAAAAATTGTAATGGAGTTCCTACTATGCCTGTTCTCACTCCCTACAAAATGGGAAAATTCAATCTTTCTCATAGGTAATATTATGCTCTTTCCTTTTCACCTTTCTTTCTTTTGTGGTTTTCCTAAATATTTCTTCTATTCCAATCTTCCGAATTGAATAAAGCACTTAAATGTTGCTACATAAATCCATAGCCATTTTAAACAGATTATCTGTTTGATTTTGCTTATGGCTTTATATTTGCATGATTGAGCATCATATTGAAATGAAAGGGAAGGGAACTAATTGTAGCAATATTCTGTTTCAAGGTTGGCTACCTTGCTACCCTGCAAGGTGCAAGTAATTCTATCAGTACTTTATATTCCTGTAGAATTAATGGAGCCTGATGTAGTTTTATCATTTATGTTATTGTCTCTCAGAATGGTAATGCCACCAATGACTAGACAGAGATCTTATAACAATATTCCTCAGCCACATGCCGCTTTATACTATTCCCAAAGAACCACCAAGGGAGGTCTTCTGATCACTGAAGCAACTGTAATTTCTGAAGCAGCTCGAGGGTAATTTAACTGTCTTGGATCGTCAAGTTCTCTTACAAGTTATAACTATATGTTGAATTTACTGTTTATGTACTTCAAGTTCAAGCATTTAACCAAAAAGTTGGTTTCTACACGTATAAATAAAGGTACAAAGATACGCCTGGTATATGGTCAAAAGAGCAAGTTGAGGCATGGAAACCCATTGTAGATGCTGTCCATGCAAAAGGTGGGATCTTCTTTTGTCAGCTATGGCATGTTGGAAGGGCTTCAACTTATGGTGAGTTCATAGATTTTGGTTTTCTGTAAGTTGAATTCATCATGATTTTTGTTAATATATATCACTTGGCTTGGCTACCTAAATAAACAGAGTATCAGCCAAATGGGCAAGCTCCTATCTCCTCTACTAGCAAACAACTGATGCCCCAAGTTCAAGCAAATGCGGCTGAACCTGCAAAATTCTCACCTCCAAGGAGGTTAAGGACAGATGAGATCCCTCAAATTTTCAACCAGTATAGACTTGCTGCAAGGAATGCTATGGAAGCTGGCAAGTTTCTATCCCCCTTTAAACTGCACAAAACGCAAATTAACAATTTCAATTCCTTGAGACTTTTGTGAGACGAGTGAATTAGCTCACTTAGACCTCTTCTGCTGAAACTTTTTATTTATCCACAAGTTCAGAAGGTGAGATTAATCTAAATGAATTAACATAGAAAAGGGATTCTCTGAAATGAGGCCTTTTGATTCACAGGTTTTGATGGAGTTGAGTTACACGGGGCTCATGGATATCTACTTGACCAGTTTATGAAAGATCATATTAATGATCGAACAGATCAATATGGTGGGTCTCTAGAAAACCGCTGCAGGTTTGCCCTGGAAGTAGTTGAAGCTGTTGCTAATGAGATAGGAGCAGATAGAGTAGGAATCAGGCTATCTCCCTTTGCAAACTATTTGGATTCAGGTGACTCAAATCCAACAGCATTAGGGGTCTGCATGGCAGAATCATTGAACAAATATGGAATCCTCTACTGCCATATGGTTGAGCCTAGGATGAAACTTGCTGAAGAAAGTTTTGAAACATCTGAAAGTCTTCTTCCCATGAGGAAGGCTTTTAAGGGTACATTCATTGTAGCTGGAGGCTATGACAAAGAAGATGGTAACAAAGCTGTGGCTGAAAACCGCACAGATCTCGTTTCTTTTGGTCGTTTGTTTTTAGCCAATCCAGATTTGCCAAGGAGGTTTGATCTCAATGCCCCTCTCACTAAACACAACCGAAGTACATACTGCCTGATAGATCCTGTTGTTGGCTACACCGATTACCCATTTCTTCAAGACACTGCTTAAGCTGACTGCAAATGAGGATTTGGCAAGTTTAAAATAATCATTATCAAGTCAATTTAAATCCAGCATTTGTACTTTTTTTTTTCTTTTTATCTTCTGTATGGTTTCCTTGTCCCAAGCATTATAGCATTGGGTAAATAATGTGTGAATGGTCTTGTTGGACTATTCGGATAATCCATCTATAAAGAGATATAATTGATAAAGTCTTTTTACCATGGAATAAATAATAGGATTTTATCCCGATAATTTAATTAAGAATTAAATTCTAATTAGTTATATGATAAAGAGATGGAATGATTTGAAGTTTTTCAGTAGTGTCTCATCGGTCACCACTAGAAGAGTACCGTAAAATAATTCTCCGACGAAAAAGATTTTTTTAGGGGTGCTTATTTTGTAAATTTGGAAAAAATAATTATTTTGAAAAAAAGTGATATTGAAAGTGTAATTTCTGAATTTCGTTCACTTAGAAAATGTTGGCCACTGCAATGTTGCAATGTTGGAACTGACATCAAACAGGCGAGTTTCTTTGGTCAGAGATTTACTTTCCTCATATAATATTATCTATATTTTTAGCTGCCATTGAAATTGGACTGCATTTTTTAAAATTTTTAGTATATTGTTTTCATGATATGTGATTAACAAGTGAATAATATATTATTTTCGTTGAAATTAAAAAATTTTAAAACTTAATTTTTTTTATATTTTTAACAAAAAATTATATTTTTATCTTAAAAAAATTATTTTTGTTGAATTCTAAAAAAATTATTTTTTATATTTAAAAAAATATTATTTTTGTTGAAATTTGAAAAATAAGTATTTTTCATATTTTCAGTAAAAATCACATTTTTAATCATAGTTTTTGTCAAAGATTTCAATAATATTGTGTATTTGTTTAAAATATAAAAAAACTATTTTTTTTACATAAAATATAATGTTTGTTAACAAAAATTATGTCTTTTATCTAAAAAAAAATTTAGTCTTTGTTAAAATTATGAAAATTTGAAAAAAATAAAAAATTTTCATAATACATCAACAAATAAAATAAAAAATATAAATATTTTATAATATATTTTCAATGAAGATAATATTTTTAATCTTAAAAATATATTAAAAATATATTTTATAATTAAAAATATAATTTTAATTGAAAATATTACAAAATCACGTTTTTAATCTCAAAAACGTGATTTTTATTTAAAATATATTAAAAAATTATTTTTATAATATTTTATAAAAAATTATTATGTAAATAACATTACAATTAAGTGAGAATAAATAAATTTTTTTTATTTTTTTAAAAATCTAAAAAAACCTAAAAGAGTAGAGAATTTTTTTTTATTTTTTTGACATTATTAAAAATTTTAGAAAATATAAAAAATCATAGAACCATATTTAAAAAAAATAAATTCTAATAAAAAATTTTACTTTCGTTTAAAACAAATGTCCATAAAAAATTCTTCTCTCAACCCATGATATATATATATATATATATATATATATAAAAAGATTTTCTGCATCGTAATCAATACAAATATTACTCAATTTTCGTAGCAGTTCTGAGATATATGAAACATTAAAAAAAAAAATCTTAAAATCATTCTTCATCTTAAGGTAACAAAATTCGATAAACGAATTTGATCATAATAAGTTATTAATTCAACAAATTTAATCTGATTAATTTTTTATTATCCTACATTGATATTATTAGAATCCTCATGTTTTATGTTTTCGAAAATTGTGGACCGTGGATTAAATCGTTGATATCATTGAATATGACTTTAATTTCTAATAATCTCGCTTTCTTTCAAGTCTTTCTTCAAATTTGAAGATTCCCGTCTGTCACTTCTCAAAGTAAAAACGAAACCTTAGTCGTTTCGGATACATGATAACCGACAATGATTTTCAGACTTCAGTAAACATTAACCAAAGCACCAAACGACGCGTTTCTATTAAGTATATATGGACGGATGCAATAGATGACTTTTCCGGTTGAACCGTGATTGATATATTTTTTTTCCTTTTATATTTAATGACTATACAAATTATTCATCAAAATTCGAACCTAAAAAAAAAAAAAAAAGTACTAGCCTCGTTCTCCTTGCGTTCTGCCTCAGCTGTTTCTTCTTCAACCCTAATTTAAAAACCTAGAATTTCTCTTTCTTTTCTCTTTCTCAGACAAGTGTCCTCCAAATCATGGATCAATACTATTATCAGCAGCAGCAGCATCATCAACCTTATAATCAATGGTGGCAACCACCACCACCACCACCGCCACCGCAGCAACCTAACATATGCCCAGTTTGTTCAATTCCTCACTTCCCATTTTGCCCTCCCTACCCTCCTTACCATCACCAAAACCCTAATTACCCTCCCCAACCTCCCCATTATACCCGACCCGTATTCCACCCCTACCAACCTTTACCACCACCAACACCGCCGCCTCTTCCTCCCGCTGTCGCAAATCCTCCCCCTCCTCCTCCTCCTCCTTACATCAACGGGTTCGCCGATCCTAGATCCTGGCATCCTAACCCTAATTACGGCTACGATTATGGTGCGGCTGCAGTTGGTGGTGAAGTTGATCGGAGCTACAAAAGGCCGAGGGTTGAGGAGTTTGATTCGGCTACGGGTCGGATTTTGACGGAAGATGAGAGAAGATTGAAGTTAATTTATGATCATGGAGGTGCTTCATTGAGTGAATTTAACCGAGAGAATAAATATTTTCATAATGATGTTAATAACGATAACAGGGCCACCCCAATGCTACCGAGGAGTTCTGAGATGTATAACATTGAAGATCCACTTAACAATTATAATGGTGATAGCAGTAATAATTATAATTATAATCAGCAGCATCAAATTCTGCATAAAGATTCAGTGCCCGCGGCAGTGAATCATTGGCAAGGTTATGAACAGAAAATTGGAGGATATTTGCAACAAACTGACGGCAATAACATGGCTCAGCCTCTTCCTCCTCCTCTTCCAGATTCTCCGCCACCACCTCTGCCCATGGAGCCTCCAGCGCAGCATCATCCTTCTTCGGAGTTTAAGGTTTATTCTTCATCGCCCAATTCATCATTTTCATTATTTCCTATACCTGTTAGTTCTTCAGCCATATCACATTCCACTTATCCGGTGGTTTCTGAGCCTTATTATCCAAACAAGCCACCACCGTATGCTTCTGGTGGAATCCATGGGGAGGTAATGGCTGATTTTTAATTGGTTCTTCGCATTGGTGCTTGAAACTGTACTTTTCAGGGACGAGAATTCTTGTTTTACTTTTATTTTTTTATTAGGATCCTCAAGTTATCCATAGGAATTCCTCTGTGCAATATGCTGTCATTCCTCGAAAGCAATTACCTTCTGATAAGCCCAAAGTTGTTGATGCTTCTGAGTTGTTTAAGATGCCTCATAGAACTTCTCGGCCTGATCATATTGTGATAATTCTTCGAGGGCTTCCAGGTAAATTATATTAAATACTTGCAATTCAGTTGAAATTTTACCTTTGGGTTTGCTGCTAGAGTGCAGGCAATACTTGGCTAATGTTTGCAAAATAAGAAAAGAATAAGGTAAATTTATTCTCAATGATTATATGGGGCAGTAAACACGTGTGGGAATTATGGGATAGGTGTGCATTTCTGAATTAAATGTTTCACTTTTGGTGGCTTTTAGCAGATAAAAATTTAACTTTGCTCATAGTGAATTATAGGTATTTTTTAACCGATTAGGTTTAAGCTGAAACTCTAGTTGTTTTTGGTGCACCGCTAGCTAAACAAGCAACTAGATCCAGATCATATCTTTATTCATGATTCATCCTTTGTATAATTCTTCCTTCAAGTAGGGTAGTTTCATTTTTTCCTGTTATATTGAAAGATGTAATAATATAATTGCTATGTCTTTCTCAACAGAATTTTGCAAAAGTGGCATCAATAATGTCATAGGAAGATACTTTCACTTTTTATTCTTAGCAAACACTTGATATCTGCTAATATTTTGATGGGCATCTTTGTTTGCTAGTTATCCTCCATTTCCTCGAAAATGCTATGGAGTTTAGTGTTATGGTTACAGTACATGATAATAATTTCTGTGACCATGATATGCAGATAAAGGAGATAGACTGAAGATGTCATTAACTGTTGATCATGTTTGGCATATTTAATTTATTCCATTTCATTTATGTGCAGGCAGTGGAAAGAGCTACTTAGCAAAGATGTTACGAGATCTTGAGGTTGAAAATGGTGGTGATGCCCCTCGAATCCATTCCATGGATGATTATTTTATGACAGAAGTTGAAAAGGTCTGTTAGTTGGCCTTATGTCTATTTGATATTCATGGCAGTTGAAGCGTTAAATGCTCTGAAAGTTTGTAATGTATTTCATGTCATATTTCTTAAAGGATGAGGAGACTGATGTTTTAAAATCATCAAGCTCAGCTCAAAGCAAGAAAACAGTGAAGAAGACGGTGATGGAGTACTGTTATGAACCTGAAATGGAGGAGGTAAGCTAGTTATTTATATAGAAGGGGCAACCTGGTTTGATGCTTGTGTTGGAATTTGCATTTATGTACATTTTTTGTTGTTAGATTTTTGGTTGCTACTGAAAACATCTAATCTTAGATTACTTTGACAGATTGGACAAAGTCTCTAATCAGGGAATGTGCTTAGTCTCGTCAATTCATGCTGAATGCTATGTATTGAGTTTCATCCAATTTTACATTATTGTCTGTGGAACTAATTTTGATATTTGTTTGGCTTACCTAGTCTAAAAGAAGGTTGAACAATCCATTTGACCGTTAAAGATCAAAATAATTACAAAATATAAGCACTGTTTGGTTTGAGAAAATGTTTTTTGTTTTTATTTTTTATTTTCATTTTCTAGAAAATATTTTTTATTTTTTGTTTTCTAAAAAATGTATTTGGTAAACGAAAATAAAAATTTCTAAAAATGTAAAAATGAAGAAATAAATAAAATATTCAATGATATTACTATTAATGGCATCTAATTATAAATATAATATATATTTATTAATTAATGACATTAAAAAGTGTTCAAATATGGTAACTTGCAAAACAAAAGGAAAAAAAATAATGTACCTTTGTTTTCTCAATTGAAAGCATATATTTTTTTTGTTTTCATATTTCAACCCATTTTCATTTTTTTTTTCTAAAAATTTGTTTCCATTTTCAATTACCAAACACGTTTTCACTCATATTTTCATTTTTCAAGAAAATGATAACAGAAAATGGCTCTATTTTTTAAAACCAAACACTAACTAATTGTTTTAAAGATTTATCCTCATATTCCATGCCTATTAGAAGGGGGGAAAACCCCCGAACATTAGAAATGTGTCCAACTAAAAGCACTTTCAAAATTCTAGTTCAGCTATTGCTAAATATAATGAGCTTGCTGGATAATTCTTCTGCATTTAAATATGAATACATGCATGCTGGAAACCTAGCCTTTTTATTCGTAATGACGCTATTTCATTGCTCATGCATGTTAACAACTCTTATTGTTTTAACCAGAATTGATGTTAATGTAAATATGCTACAGGCATATCGAGAAAGCATGTTGAAAGCATTTAAGAGGACCCTTGAAGATGGGATCTTCAGTTTTGTAATTGGTATGGTTCTTCAAATGAAATCTTAGGCTAATGAAGACAGTGATTTTTATCTTTGCTCTAATATTATAGTCAGCTTATTTGTTAAAGGTTGATTAGTTGATGTTTGTTGTTGAAAATTTTAATTTATACTAATGTGGTTACATGTTTCCTTGTGGGTTCATCTACCTGCCTAGTTAAATATGGTTTAGAAAACTGAGGATGTCTTTTCTCCTTATTCTTTCACAAGGAGAGAAAAAATGGGACAAAGGAATGCCTAGGCTTCATTAGATGAAACAATTAAATGTTCTCCCCGTTATGCTGGCTTGTTACAGCATTTAACCGCATAAACAATCTAGCTTCATTAGCATTTAAGTGATCATGCAGTGCCCATGCACTGCTTACATTTTCAACTAACTACAGATGCAGTTTTTGTTCGGCAATTGACCCTTTTCTTGCTGGTATGTGTGCTTCGTCTTAGTGGATGACCGCAATCTGCGGGTAGCTGATTTTGCTCAGTTTTGGGCAATTGGAAAGGTATACTCTCAATTCTTTCTCACACCCTTTCTGCAAGTATATTCTCTGGGAATACTTAAAGGTGTGCAGGTCTTCATTTGCATAACATGGGCCTTATTGTAATTTGGTAGCATAAACTTTAATATGTTGGGTTTCATTCTAAGTTTTCTACTCTTTTTTTTAACTTTAATTAAGATACCGTTTTTAAATATTTTTGTTTTAATTGTGAAATCTTCTTTATTTTTCAGTCCCAATTTATTAATCTAAATTTTTGTTTGTTGTCTATCAAGGCAAAGATGATTTTATACTGAATATTTACTTTAATGCATGGGAGAAAGTGTTAGCCATCTTTGAAAGAAATGTGCATATAAGTAATCCTCTGGGATGTGAACTTGGGAGTCTTTGGCTTTTCCATTCATTTAGTCGTTTTATTTTTAATGTTGTTTTCTTGTCCCCTCAGCCTGCGGTTCTGGGTTGTGTTGGTAAATGCAAAGCAGTTTATGTTTTCATGAAAACTGTATCTCTTGGTACCAAAAAATCATCATTCTTTATAACTTTCATTTCTATGGTTAAGAAATTATTCTGTTAGAAAAAAAAAAAAAAACAAAAAAAAACGAAAAAAAAAAAACAGAAAAATGGGAACAATGGACCATGCTTGTAATACATGTAATTCAAGGCCATTGGTGTTATCTCGGAAGGTGCTACCATTGTTCTGCAGCATTGATCATAAATCTTTCTTGTTAGTTTTAATAAGTTAGCCTTTTTGCTATTAGTTGCCAGTATACTTTTGTACTTTTGATTAAGCTGTTGAGTTATTGTGAAATGTAGCTGGTGACATATTGTGCCGTATACCAAAATTGAATATGTGGATGCATGCAATACTATTCCAATATCATCTAGAATTTCATTTAAGTATACTGAATTATTACTGATATTCCTTGTATCTATACGTTACCCTCTTGAACTTGCTATGTGGAAAAGCTACATTATGGTCCCAGCATTTTTCTTGCCAATGCTAGTAATTTGCTTGTCTAGTTTAAGTTAAGACCTTCCTTATTCTCTTAGCATGAGAGTGGATGCGCTTGCTTATGCTAGTTTTATGCCTCAATGGTTTATTATTATTGACGGAATTTTTTGTTTATGGTCAAATGATAGAACACATTTCATATGCTTATTTAATATTTTGCATTTGCTTTGGTTTTGTGTTTGTGAATGTTTCCTACAATACAATGAATTTGCTAAAAGCTAGCTTTTAAGTTGTGAAAAAAAAAAAAAGAAGCTAGCTTTTAGGTTGTTGGAGGTTTTGTTACTTGCCATTCTTTGTTCTGAGAACTCCATTATTGTTGTGTTTATCATCGAAAGCTAGCTTTTAATATGCAAAAATGGTTTTTTGAATCAGTTGTTACAATCTCGGAGAAGTTGAATATCTTCTGAAAAGTTTTCCTGGACTTTTCATCTATCCATAAAGAAAGTTCTCTGGGACTTCAAATCCTAATCTGACTGTTTGCATATATAATTTCTGAACTTGAACCTTAAGGGTGCAGCATAAGACTATAATACAGAACCTTGCTTGCAATGATGATGAATATTAAGTTACATTAGTTGGTTCTTTTTTTCATTTGTTACTGGTTTTTTTTATTGTTCCTTACTTTCTTTTCAGAGATCGGGTTATGAGGTTTATGTATTAGAAGCTACATACAAGGATCCTGCGGTGAGTGCGTATAACTTATTTTCTTTGTAAGATTTTGTCACATTTTCCTGAGACTTGTGCGTTGTTTATTTTCTAATGTTGCACTTGATAAGTTGCTGATGTTTTTATATAAACTGAACAAGAGTTCTTCCTTTGTCAATTATGCCACAAAGATGATAATTATGTTGAATTTCAGGGCTGTGCAGCTAGGAATATCCATGGTTTTACCTTAGATGAAATCCAACAGATGGCGAGACGATGGGAAGAAGCTCCATCATTATACTTGCAACTGGACATCAAGGTTTGTTGTTACTAAGCTTTCAATTTTAACTTTACAGTTAAAACTTTGGAAATTCAAGGAGAAAGTAAACATCATAGTTTGGAAATTTTAAACAAATTCAGGCTGATGTCTTCAGTAAGTTAAATAATTTGGAAATGTTAGTTATTGTAACATAATACTAACAAAAAAAAATTGTAACTTAAATTTCTAAATGCTGTATTTTGCTGGTATGACAGTTATTGTTCCATGGAGATGATCTGAAGGAAAGTGGTATTCAGGAGGTAATGACTTTTATATCTTGCTATGCTGGTTGTGCTTTTTACTTACAGCATAAACTTTGAGCTTGTTCATGACATGTGTGTGTGTGTGTGTGTATTATTTTTGCCCATTTGTTATGTCTTTCCTTAATCACTTTTTGTTCCAAATGTTTCTTTTTAAGTATTATTTGCTCCTGCACCTAAATAGAAACGTATGTTTAATGTCATTTTCTGTAATCGAAGATAGGTTTGTAGTTGGAAAGTAACTTGGAAAATCACTTTATAGTAGCATTGTGTTGACAGTGCAATAGTTATGCTATATTTCTTCGCTCTACTAGCGTTGCGGTAACATGCTTTCTTTTTAACATGTGATTTTGGAGTTGGAATTCTAACTAGCTTAACTTTTTTATATCTGCAAGGTTGACATGGACATGGAAGATGGAGATCATGAAGAAGGATTATCAGGACGACAAGAACAAAAGCATGAGAAAATGAACTTACAAGATGTTGGAGATCATGTACCTGAAGGTATATTTCATTTCTTTGCTTTGTGAGCATTCTGTATCAGTTTGCATTCAATATCAATTGTCAGTCATCACTTCACCCTCCATTATATTTCAGTGTTTTCTGTGTGACACTTTATTAATTATCCAATTTACCTATGATTTCAAGCTTTAGATTCTTCAAAGGATGAAACAAGATGGGATGCTGAGGGAGACCATCCCACGGAGATAAAAGAATTAAGTAGGAGTAAATGGTCAAATGATTTGGATGAAGATCAAACTGAAGGATCAGAATCTATTAAGGGAAATTTGAATGCTCTTCCTGGGTTGATCCAAGCATATGGGAAGAAAGGAAAATCTGTACATTGGAGTGACCAGGTATTCCTTATTTTGCGAAACATATCTTTTTAGTACCGTAAATGCCAGTGTTCTGTGTTTGCCCCGAATGTATAATTTCCTGCCTCCCTCCATTTTTAATTTACTGAGGAAACAATCTCTGAACATGATTTTCTGTATGGTAGACATCCAAACAGGTCTTCATGTGTATGTGTATATAGATGAATGTGGCTGTTGTGAATACTTTAACCATGTAGGTACACTGTTTTTTAGGGGAGCCATATAGCGAATCCTTGTCCACCTACTGAGCACTGACACAAAATATGGGTATGACATGATACAAACATGGTGACACAACATTTGTTAAAATATTAGGATACATGGCAGTAAAAAATATACTAAATATATTTTAATTAATTTTAGCTAAGTATATAGTAGAATGTCTTTTAACATTTTTTGTCATAATAAGTTCTTAAGGTAAATTTACTAATATTTTTGAAATATCTTTGTAAATAGACTTAATAGCCTTCAAGTTTGGGTTTCAAGCTATTAAAGAAGAATTCAATGGCTTACTTTTTTTTGTCTTATGCTACCCTAGTTACGTAGCCACAGGCTTCTCCATTACCTTGCCTTCTCTTTTAAATTCCAGCAGCTCCAACATCATTTCCTGTAGCTTACTTCTTTGATTTAATCTCAAATCAAAGTTATTGGACTAAAGTAGTTATGGGTATTAAGACACCCAAGTCTGCCTAACTTCTCTTGCTTTATTTTTTGTTATTTCCATTTGTGACCTCAACATTTTAGGTCAAGACAGTGCCTACGTTGGCGTCGCTTCATCAGTGGCAATGTTATTCCGTATTTTTGTTGGTTTTGTTCTAAATTTGTAGTGCAGATCGATATTTGCGGATAAAAAATTATTATTATTATTTTTTCTTAGCTGGCTGCATTCAATATGTATTCCAGCATATCGAAGGCATGTCTTTGTCAGACACAACAACGATAGGCGGGGGGTTGAGGCATGTCTGTGTTTCATGGTCCATCTTATTTATGCTGTGGATATTATCATGTTGTTTTTCTATGCATTCTTCTGCCCTCCAGTACTTAATTGGCATGTACTTACTAGCAGTGTAGGTTCTTACCTGGTTGGATGAATGACAATGGATCATTGTGATGAAATTATAGGGAAAGGTCACTTAGATCCTTTGCCATTAGTTCTCTGTTTGATGGAGTCAGTTGAGGAAATGAGGAAAATCTTATAAAGGCCTAAAGGGAGATAATTTGATAAGATCGGTTTCAGAGTCATAGTATTTGCTCTAGTTCAGCAGTAAAACTTCCAGCTAGGCAGCTGTCTCCCCATTATTTTTGTTTGCATAAAATCTTTTCTAGTCTTATTTTTCTCCTTTCTAAAATGTGTTGCCTCTAATTGGTTGCTGTTAGATAATATATAAAAATAAAGGTTTTCTGCTATGAAGGATGACTCACCTCAACTGTTTGCATATATATCAGTGTCATGTCTATGCCCAACATGGACACACCTCCGATTTGCTGGAATATGTATCAGACATAGCCATATACGGAAAATAATAAAGAATAATCATTCTTTTTTATTAGGGAATGCAATAGGCACTAGAAATTTAAAGGAAAATCAAGGAAAAGAAGGGATGGCATTGGCATTGGTGAAGCGATGGTTAGCACCAACTAGACATTAAATTTTGAGACCACAAACAAAAATAAAAGAATAAAATAAATGGAGAGAAGGTTGACTTGGCTGTCTGATATCCATGCCTGTTTTACTCAAATTACTTTGATTTAAGCTTAAATTAGGGAAGGAGAGATGAAATGGTAATGGGGCAGATCAACAGCTGGGTTTGAAAGGAGAAAATAGGGTACTGGAGAAGTCGGTGGCTAGGGAACTAGGGTTGATTAAGAAAAAATAATTAGTTAAATTTAATTAAAATATATTCAATATTTTTTTATTTCCATATCCTTGTTGTCTCATGTCATAAATCTTTTAAAAAATGCCTTTTTGCTGTTTTCGTATTGTGTTGTACCAGTATCCCGTGTCATTGTTGGTTCTTCATATGTTTTCTACCATTTCCTGGTGGTTTTTAACCCGCTTATTTATTTGCCATATTTTTCAGGGTGGTGACACTGGGTTCTCAATAGGTGCAGCAAAGAAGGCCAAAATGTTGTCTCTAGTGATTGGACCAGGAGCTGGTTACAACTTGGTCAGTTACGCAATTATCATATCTGTTCTTTCAGTTTTAGCCAGTTTGATTTCAATGGAAAAAAAAAGTATGTTTCTGCTTAGCTGTATTCTATGACGTTGAATATCCTCCAATTAATTAACAGCTTTCTGTAGAAAGGAAATTGCTTCACTGGGAAACCAGTGAATGATAGGACTTACTTTTTTGGTTTTATATTCACTTTGATGAGTTGAATACCTTCTCTGAGTTCAATAGCTTTTACAGAGGCTAACTTTAACTTCTGGTTGCTTGTGCTTCCATCACTTGCAGAAGTCTAACCCATTGCCTAAAGAGGAGAGCTATACATCCGATAGCAGTGTGAATTCAAAGAAGCAAAGTTCATTCCAACAGCGAATTCGAGCAGAGCATGAATCTTTTAAAGCTGTTTTTGATAGGAGGAAGAGAATTGGTGGGCTTCATCTTGATGAAGATTAGTAAATTGAAAAGCCTGGGAAGTTTTGCCCTTATAGAGATGTTTGGCAAAATGCTTTCTCTGCCAACCCCCAATTTTTTGGTATTCACAGGGGAGACTTAGCTGTTATTTGCATAGTACGGGAAGAGAGGTGGTTCAGTCAAACTGTATCTGTAATTCAGAATGAACCATCCCTGTGGTAGGAAAACAAAAGTTTTTCTGCCATGATTAATTCATATTTGTAATTATTTTCTGGGTTTTGTTTATTTCAATTGCTTAAATGATGTATTCCATGTTACTAAAATTCTTTAAATGTATAAATTGTTTGATCTGGTATAGTATCCAAGCGTTAGATATCCGTTTAGTCAAGGTGTCTAAGCATTATTGAATTTTTTTTATTTTTTGCCATCAAATTATATTTGTTGAATTGATTAGTCTCTGCCAAATAAATTTAACTAATCTAACTAGATTAAAGATTATATGTAGCTAATGTTACAACCATTCTTCCCTTTTTTGGCCGATAGAACGCACAATAGGTAGAATATTATAACTCACTATACCATATTTGAACGGTTTATTATTAGTTTGAGTAGTTCGATTCACTGGCTGCTCATCCGAAATGATTTTGTTTTTCTTATCAAAGTCGAGTGGTTATACTATATCCATTTGTTGGGTAAATAAACCCAAGTATGTGACATTGGGAAGAGGAAAGTAGTGTTCTTCCCCCTTAAACAACCCGAGGAAAGTAGAAATGTGGGCATTCCTTCGTCTGTGATTCCAAACAAAAAAAAAGTTCCTTTTGGTAAGTAGCATTTCTCTCAAATGTTTCATGTGTAATATTCGTAAAAGTTCAAATTGCACAGTACATCATATATATATATATATATATATATATTCAAATGGTAGAATTAACCTTTCTATTTTAATTTATTCAAATTAATTAATGGTTCAAATTTTTGTTATTTAAATTGATAACATAACATTTTAACTTTTTAACATAATATTTTTTTTGTTTATGTAATCGTGACTTTGTTAATGTGTTAAATCTACGTGTTTAAAAATAATATCATGATAATTTTTTGTCATATTAATTTTTTTTCAAATTATTCAGCTCGTCCTTGTATTTGGGCCAAATGGTGGAATTAATTGCCTTACCCTTAAGTTCCATTTAGATGAAGGGTAAAATTAACTTTTGTAAGATTAAAAATAATAGTAACGATGAGATTAGTTGTTATAGTGATGAGATTGAAATAATTTTTAATTTATTTTAATTTTTAAAATATTAAAAATAATGTAGCATGCTATTAAATACTTTGATCTTGAATTTTCTAATTCGAAAAGTTCAAATGATAGTTATTAGAATTGAATTGGACATTAATCCATTAAAGACCTCAAATCTCAAGTCAAATAGTTCACCTGTCGAATTATTTGAATTAATGGATTAATACAATCTTATAAAATATTAGAAATAAAATTATAGATTATATAAATATTTTGTGCAATTATATAAATTAAAAATTATGACATAAGAGTTAAAAATATTCATTATTATTTAAATAATTAAAAAGAAAGTCATGTTTACAAAGATTTTTTTAGTTTTTTTTTTATAAATTATTATCAATGTTATTTTTAAATTCTTTTAAGAAAAATAATTTTTAGTGTGAATGATTAAAAAAACAATAATTAATATGAAAAAATTAAGTTAAGAGTGATTTTAAAATTATTTTAAAAATTATATTTAATTGACTCAAATCAATAAAAATGATAGATTACGAATTTTTTTATAAACATAATAAATCAATACGGATTTTTGAATCAAATTCATAAATAATTCAATTAAAGAACCAATCTATTTAAATATTGAGTCATCTGATTGATTGTCCGATCACTAAATTGATCGGATATGATAACAGTGGTTTAAATTCAAATCAACAATTTATTATTGAAATTTATAACATAGGATTAAATGTTATACCTTTTCAATTCCTATCCCTTCATTCTTTATTGCCTCACCTACACGTTGATTTTCTACCATTTTATTCCCTATTACGTCAGCTATTTCTTTCACTTTAGGTCTTGTTAACAACTCAAGAGCTAAAATAGCTTCATCTATACCATGTACTATATACACATCAACTACACCAAGATCTATCATATACCTAATCATATCAAGAGTGTTTTTATCATCATTTACTACCATCAGGCCATCAGCTAGTGTTTTTCTAGGTTTTAAATACAATATCTCACTAATATTCATATATCCAACTTTATTATAAATGTCTAATAACTCATAGTAAGATATCTTATTAGGATCAACTGTTAAGTCCTCTACTATCTCATTTATATACATAAGATTATGACTATTACCAACAAAAGTTCTAGCATAGTGAAATTGTAGAATATAATAATCAAAACTCATATTACAAAACCAAGAAAATTAAATTCTATCACAATAAACCTTAAATTCTAGCAACAATAGTTGATAAGTGCTATAAGAATCATTTTCAGCAAAAATTTATGTTATAAGTGTTATAAAAAACCATAAATCCCTGACAATTAAAACTACAGTTACTTTAAGTGTGCATTTCCTTAACATTGTTATCAAATTTTTATTATAAGCTTTTACATTGTTATAACCAAAGAGTTTTTCTTTGAAATACAATTTTTTTTCTTAGAATTAAAATTCACATGATTGATTTGATGCTATTATTTGATAATGTTTTGGCAAGGTAATTTATAAAATGGAGTTGAGGTAGTGGACTTACTTATATTTAAGCTTGGTTATCTTTTTAGTGATTTTGTGGCTGGTTTTGTGACTATCCAACAACAATTGATAAATGCTATAAGAATCATTTTCAGCAAAAATTTGTATTATAAATGTTATAAGAGACCTTAAATCCCTAACAATAAATGTTGCAATTATTTTAAGCATATATGTCCCTTCCATTGTTATAAAATTTATGTTACAAGCTTTTACTTTATTATAAAATTTATATTATAAGTTTTTACTTTGTTATAACTAAGAGTTTTTCTCTGAAATGCAATTTTCTTTTACAATAAATTTTTAATGTGCACATTCTAGCTTAAAAATTTAACATATTTTTCTTATGTTATTTTGTTCTTAGAATTAGAATTCACATGATTGACTTGATATTGCTATTTGTTAATGTTTTTGGAAAGATAATTTATAAAATGGACTTGAGATTGTGATCATGCTTATACTTAAGTTTAGTTATCTTTCTAGTGATTTTATGGCAGGTTCTGTGGCTATTCTTTTCATAATTTTGTTTTTGAACTGTTGTAGTTGAAAATTATATTGGATTTGGCTAAAATTTTAGGAGATGTCTTGAAAGTTGGGTTTTTTATGTATGTTTTTTTAATTTTTTTGGTCAAGTAGTGAGATAGAGATTTAATTTTAATATTTTGATACAATAGCTTAATTACTAAACCAAATTTAGGTTATAAGTGTTTTCAATCCTAAATTTAACCCTGTTTATAATCTAGCTACCATGAATTGTTAGTTTTTTTAATTATTTTTATAAAATAACATTTATTTTTTATACTGATTAATTGGCTTCATTTATGCTATAAATTAAGGGAACAGTGATGGGCGATCACTTATGCTAGCACTAGTAGATGCCTAAGTAATGAGTAAGAATCAAAAGGTTACATAAATAATTAAACAATTACAATTAGCCACATACCAGAATATGCCTAAACAACAAAAAACCCTAACCATAAATTTGAACAATTAAGAACAATAGCAAAAAAACTTAAATTAGAATATGCTTAAGAATAAAGAACTGTAAAAAATCTTAAACCAAAATATGCCAAACTATAAAGAACAATAGAAAACACTTAACTACAATAGAAAACCAGATTCTTTCTTGTTGTTTCTTCTCTGGTAGAAAAAGTAAAGCCTTTGGTTTCAATCTCTTGATAGAAATGACCAATGGAAATAGTCATAACGTTTTTGGTCAAAATTTTATTGTCATTGTTGCTAGGGTCGGCTTTGTTATGTTGTTCCGACAACTTCATCCTTTTTCCTATGATGATTGGAGGTCTATTAAGAGGTAAATTGTTATGGTAAAATTGTAATGTCTCTCTATTGAAAATTTATGATGATCTATCATGATATATAGGTAGAGATTTAAACTCATATTTTTGAGATATTATGCTTTTGATAAATCCTTAAAACTTTTGATTAAATTAGATAATACCTTGCATGGTCTAAAATCTTTGTTTAGTATTTGAGAATTGTAAATTCTTTGTTTCTTTGGATTGAAGGTTTCTCTATTTAAAATGCCCTTTGATTCGTGCATATGGAGCAATTTGTTTTGATGTAAGGACTGACATTTCACCTAAATGAAAGCCATTTGGTTCATTTTGCTTTTATGGTCCCTCAGAAAGAGAGCTCGTTTTTGTTGATGAAGTAGTTACACAGAATTATTCAATTTTTTATTAGTATTTAAACAATCCGCTACTAGATACCAAATGACAAGTTGAGTTTGGTGAGCTTAGAGGAAGTTTGATGCTTGCCATAATGGTTTTATGGGACATTATCTTTTCATCAATATGGAATGAAGCCATTGATTCACTTGAAGCTATAATGCAGCAAGTGCATAAAGTTTTTAATAGATTTTACTTTTCTTTGCATTTGCATTTGCATATGTAATTGCTTTGAAAATGGTTTATCTTGTAATATACCATTAATTAAATTTTCAATTATGAAGGTTGTTTCTATTATTGTAAAGTTGAGGAAAGAAGCTTTCAAAGAGTTAATCCTTAGTAATCACATTCCCAATAAGACACATTTGGATCTTGTTGTGAAAAAAGCTTACTGAAGCAGCTCATCACTTATTAAGGTATTCTTCTTTTAATAGTTATTATGTTCATGAAGCCTCAGGTCAGCACACTATTTTGAAACCATATTCCTCATACTCTTATGAGTTATGACTATATATTACGTTTTTAATTAATCATTTTGATTCAAAAAATTAGGTTGTGTAGAGATCCATACCATATTTATGAGGTATTATCCACTTTAATTCGAAAGTCTCATAATTTTATCCTATAAAAATACATCACATTCTTCTAATATAAGATTAGTGACATCACAATGTCCCTCATTAAAACTTGACATCTTTATCAAAACCAATAAAACTTGACGTCTCCATCAAACTCAACATAAAGTACACATAAATTCACAGAATCAAGATCACATTAGACATTTGAATTTTAGAGATGATTTTCATCATGTAGCACTTAGCTTTCATGGGTATTCACAAATGGTATCAGAGTAGTTATTAATCAAATGAAACTAAATGCTATACCTTGTGAGTAATCTCTAGAATCTCGAAGCAACTAAGTGCTACATGGTGAGAACCATCTCTAAAATCTTAACGTCTAGCATGATCCTAATTTTATGGATTTGTGTATACTTTTTATTAGCCTTGACAAAGACATTAAGCTTTAATAGAAAAGATTGTAAATCCCTCAATCCTACATTAAAAGAATATAAGGATATAATGCGATATATACATAAAGATCTAAATTTAAATTTGTTAAGTACTTTTTGAGAGATAAAATTGTGAGACCTTTGAGATAAAATGGACAATACCCAAGTTAGGTATCGATTCTATAACATGGTTAACTTATATGTAGGCATTCTTTTCTTTTTTACTTATCTAAAGTGTAATATCAAGTTAAGATAATTATCATTAAGCCATACTTTTACAGGTTGAAAGAGAAAATGCTTATCAGTTTTGACTTCAGCCACCTAATGGTCTTGCATTTATAGGA